TAAAGAGTCCCATGGCTCTCAGCCTGTCGTCGTAAGGTCTGTTTTCCTGACCTCTGATCATGCGCCTGGCTCTTCTCTGCACTCTCTGATGATTCTACGAATTTGGGGCCACTTCTAAATAAGAAGAGAATAAATGGGAGCCACCTCTAGAACTGGAGTTGCTGGTGCCCACCCCCAACAGGATAGGGGAAAGAGGGGAACAGGAATGGAGAAGAGAATGAGGCAAATGGTCAGTGTGCCCAACGGCAGACAGGGGAAAGGAGCACTAAGCTTTGTGAGCCTGCTGTGGCAGTCAGTCCAGCAATAAGCTTGCTCAAGGGAGCAAAGAGGATAGAAATCAAATGACAACGAAGAACACAAGGATACAATGGACTTTTAACATGGTTAAGAAGGGACAATGTACTGTATTGCACTGAAGATACTTGCAGATAATATCCAATTCTTTCACCAAGCCTGCACCAAGTGACATTGAGAGCTGTCAGGGTCAAAGGGATGTTCCCTGATTGGGAATGAGAGGTGAAATTGGGTTTGTGCAGCAACCAAGGAGAGGAGAGACACTCTTCTTAGTCAAAGGGAAGGGGGAAGGTCCATGCTGTAGAAGATATTGAGTCCTCCTCTTCCCACCCTGAGTTTTGACTGTGCTTCTGTCTGACATTAGAGCTGGTGTTTGCTTTTGTCCCCTCCAGGTCCTGAACCTGTTCTTAGCTTTGCTGCTGAGTTCCTTCAGTGCTGATAGCCTTGCAGCTTCTGATGATGATGGAGAGATGAACAATTTGCAGATTGCTATTGGCAGGATCACCAGGGGGATTGACTTTGTAAAGAAAACTATCCTAATGCTACTTCACAGGCAGTGGAAGGAGAAGAAAGACCCAGATGAGGAGCAAGAGGAGAGTAAGACAGACAACTATGTCCTAAACCATATGGACTCTGGCCAGGATTCCAAGTCGGATTTTATGGATGGAGTAGCTGGGAAAGAGCATATAGATATCTCTGTGGATAAGGTGGATCACATGAATTTCATTAATAACCCCAACCTGACTGTCCAAGTGCCAATTGCCTCAGAGGAATCTGACCTCTACGAGGATGAAACAAGCACCCAGTCTGACACAGAAGACACCAAGGTAAGAAACATCTTGGTTTTCAGCAGACAGTTTTGGGGGGCATAAGAGGGCTACATCCCACAGTCCTTACTCACTGCAAATTCCTCATCACCTCAAGAAGGGACTGGTGTGGCATTTATATTCTATGCCATGAGCTGTTGTCTGGGGCTACAGTATCTGGCCTGATATGGGTGTTTCTCACCTCAAGTGTCAATGAAATTGCTTCCTCTGTACTGTAGACAAAGAAACAGCTGCATTGGTCTTGCAAAGTCATTCAGATTTCCCCAGCTTCACATTTCTCTCTCTGCATCTGAGAATTTGGGACCCAATGGCTGTCATAGGATGCTGAGGGGCAGGGGGAAGGGAATTGGTCTACAGAACGGCCGCTGCCCCACGCTACACCTGCCACGATCTGAGGACCCTGGTTTCCGTCTTTCCTGGGCTCACATGAACAGAAGGCAGGGGAACATTGGGCCTGGGTGGATTTTTCTCTCTGCACTCATTAGCTAAAAAATGCCTAATCCCCATTTTGTTGTAGTTACCTCCAATAAAATCACTCAGTGCTTGATGGCAGCTCTGGACTATGCAGACTTTGCTGGTTTAACTACATTGGTATGGCAGCAAGAGAAGGTCCTTTGCTGACAGAGTTAAACCTCCCTGAACAACAACTCTGCTGGCTATGGGACTCATTTGCCTGTAGATGTTGTGCCTATGTGGGACAGTTTTGATGGCAGGGAGGGAGGGGGTTTTCTTTCACTTTTCTAATTGACAGCTATCTAGACAAAGCTCTGTAGTGGAGAGCTGGCCTGAAATTAAGGCCTTGAAAAATTTGCTGGTATACTTATGTCAGAAAGAGGTATAATTATTTTCCCCCCAAGCTGTGACCAGCACAGCTATGCTGGAAGAAGCTCTAATGTCCTTCTGTTGGTATAGGTTGCTCCCTTCAGGGAACTGGTTTATGTGAGGCTGGAAAAGAAATCTCCTCCTAGTATAAGTTGCATTGCCATTAGGGTGGGTTGCTCTACCAGAGCAAATACGCGGGGCAAAGCCATGTCAGCTTAGACAAGGTCATGGCCTTAAGAAGTGTCTACATTGAAAAGTTTTGCTGCCTTCACTATGCTGATAAAATTAAAGGAGCAAAATATCTCATTTAAAAAAATATAGTTACAGTGAAATAATTGTGTTTATACTTCTATAACTTAGGATGATTAAGGAACCAGAGTCCAACAATGTAAATACCTTTACACAAATATAACATCATTTATACTGGGGTTTCTACCAATACAACTATGTTAGAAAAAAAAATCTCTCCTTCCGCCACACCCTGCACCCGAGTAACATGGCCATCCTAGGATCTGAAGTACCAATCAATAAAATAGGACATTTCTGTTCAAAGGATGTTTTGGGTGCCACTTCTTGTGGTGGCATGGCAAAGCAAGGATACTTTCAGCTGTGCTTGCAGAGGCGGAAATGGATCCAAAGATTTATTGTCTCAGTTGTGTTTAAAATCTAAAAATACTTTCCATCTCTCCCTTGCTTACTTGTTCTTTCAGAAGCTGCTAAAAAGCAATTCCTTATTCTTTCATTTGCAGTAGAAAAATGAATTGTGAGTTTCCAGGGATTTGTTATGTACATTTCAGCTCTGATACTGTATTATCGACTGCATGATATTGCGTTATCTATTGAATTATTTTGTACTGCATGACATATGAGAAAAGACTGAGGGAACTGGGCTGATTTAGTTTAGAGAAGAGGAGACTGAGAGGAGATTTAATAGCAGCCTTCGGCTACCTGAAGGGTGGTTTCCAAGAGGATGGAGCTAAACTGTTCTCAGTGGTGGCAGATGACAGAACAAGGATCAACAGTCTCAAGTTGCAGCAAGGGAAGTTTAGGTTAGATATTAGGAAAATATTTCTCACTAGATGGGCAGTGAAACATTGGAACAAGTTACCCACAGCAGTGGTGGAATCTCCATCTTTGTAAGTTTTTAAGACCAAAAGCTTTTGCTGGGATGATCTATTTGGGGATGGTCCTGCTTTGAGCAGGGGGTTGGACTAGATGACTGCCTGAGGTTCCTTCCAACCCTAATTGTCTATGCTTCTCCCAGATGTGTGCAGTAGAAAGACTAACAATAAAACTGCACAGGATTGTATGTTCACTTTTGGACTTGGTACTTGTATCAAACCTGCAGCCCTGCACATCTGCAGAAGACAGTTGAAGACATGCACAGGTTGTTGGGTAGAAGGAAACAGCACCCTAATATGCAGTTTTGGGTAGGTGGCCACATTTGATTGTTCTTTCTTCTGTGTGTGTACAACAGGGTGAAAAAAGCATTGTCCCCTAGAAACAATTCTCCCCATATCAGGTGAAAAGAACCCTGATAAATAAGAGATGCCTAGGGCAGGGGTGCTCATCCTCCAGGCCATAGGCCAGACATGGCCTGCAACACTGTGTGTGCATGATCCCAGTGCACAGGATCAAGTGGGTATAGCGCTGGGCCTGCAGGGTCCAATCCTTGCACACGGAGCAGGGAGGGATCAGTGCCAGGTCCCAACTCTACATCTTGCCCTCGGACAGTCCCCACACCACATTTCTAGCCTGTGGGGCCAAAAGGTTGAGTACCACTGGGCTATGGTGTTATCTTCTTTAGGAGTCACATTATATCATAAATCCCCTGCTTCTCTGCTCCCACCCTCATAACTCCACTTTCTCCCTAGACAAACACAAAGATGCATTTAGACAAGTGTGATGTGGTCCCCTGCCACAAAGCAAGTCAGATAATTCTCTTTCACCCACCTGCCAGCCAACAGGGAGGTCTCATGCTGCCCGTATAACACTACTTTATCCAGTCTCTCTCCAGGCACCCCGTAGTTCTGGGATTACCCAGAAAAGTAGTATTTCAGTACATCTATGTTTAACAAAAATAGCCTGCTCTTCAGACACCTTGAGCATACATCACCTACAGCTGGTGCTCCTCCTATGAAAATATGGCTACTTACTAGGCACTTAATTTTAAACAACAGGATCTAAGCTTCTGGCCTTTTTTCATTTTTTTTTAAGCCAGATGTTATTAGTAGGAGTAAATTTGCTTTTCTCTCTCCAAAACGTTCCCTATTGGGGCACTCTTTTTCAATAGCTTAGAACTTTTTCTTGGCTGAAATTTTCCAGTCGATGTACACAGGAGACTGAATTATTTTGGAAAGCTCCAAAATAAAAAGCAAAAAAGGGTTGGGTGTTTAACAGAATGAAGGACAAATGCATTGCTAGAATAAGGAGAGAGCTTTGTGTTTAAAGGGGTGTCAGATCGTCATTAATGTTAGCAGATACTAGTGGTTGCCTGCAGGGATTGGTGCTGGGGTCCCAGCGCTCCAGTTTGATTGATTATAAATGAAGTGGAGGAAGGTGGTGCCAGCAGAGTAGTGAGATTTGCTGATGGCACTAAAATTGGATCTACTTGTTAATACTTTAGAAAGGGTCATCTAGAGAAAGGTGTCCATTCCACTGGGGAGGGAACTTAACACGAGAGCAAACAAAGCAATGCATTTTGGATCTACTCATGAAGTGCCTGACATCAGCATTGCTGGATAAAGCCCTAGAAGGCCCTGAGAGCTCATGGGACAGAGGGAATCATGTTAACGGCAGTAATGCTATGACGGAGAGGTATGCAACAAAGAAATCCAGTAAGATTTGAGCCTGCAAGTCTAATAAACAAGATAAGGGGAAACTCTACTAAGATCGGACAAGGTCATGATGAGGACCTGTAAAAAGGTACCAAGTCTGGGCCCCCATCTCTCAGTAGGAACAAGAGCAACTAGAATGATTAGTGATGTGGAAGGGATTGTTTATATCAAAGGGGTGAGAAATTTATATGGATACTAGCCAATTGCCTGTCAAGAATGACGGGGGGGGGCACAA